GACATGTTTCCATAACATGCATGGACAGAAGGAGTTGGGTGTTGGTTTTTACCTTTAGAGTTGGTGTCTGAAGTCTATAGAAAGCCACAAAACTTAGAGTAACCTTGTAATGGATTACTTCATTGAGTAAAGTTTTCTTTCTTTTTTCTTTGTAGGTGGAATCAAAACTTGACTATTTCCTCTCTGTAGTTCTAAAGGACCCTTTGTTCTTGGCTTTTTCATCACAAATGACAGAAGTCTGTGACTGACATTGTACAAGCACATGGACACGAACTGTTGAACAGGTTGATTTCCTTAGCAGACACTTAGAATTACACTGTTAAAAGCAAGTGGAAAAGAGTGCTAGCAAATAGGATCTTAAATGTTATGTTATATTAACAACGTTACTTCCCAGGAAATGTGATGTATGCTTCCATAAGAAATAAAAATCCTTGGTCTAAAAAAATGCCCTGAGTCAATGATACTAAGTAAACAAGAATACTGCTATTAGATGAAGCCCTGTTATCATCAGAATATCTTACGCAAGATCCAGAATACACAAAATTTTATTTTATGTTTCTCAGGAATGTGCTGTGTTCAGTACTTTCAGTTTGTTTGATACCAGACCAACAAATATTGAAATTAGGGTTTTGTGTTTGAAGTACAGCTATCATCAAGGACACCATCTGTATCACCTAATTTACCTCTATGGAGAGTGGTGAACCCTCTTACACCAGAAGTTAAATGAACATTTTGCTTCCTGCCTGCAGTGTCGGCTCAGAACCATAGACATGCAAGCACCCAGATGCTCACAGCTCCTTTGGAGCACTGGTATTTCCCTTATATACTAATTCAGTCATAAAAAGAATGACACACAATGGCTAGAGGAGTGACTCCAGCATGGCCAATCATCTTTGGTCTTTGCATCAGTGCAAAATTGCCTAAAAACCGCTAATGATCGTACTGAGGATTCCTCTGCCTTCTACATAGCTTCTGATAATGAAGGATTGGTGATGCTTCTCCAACAAACATAAAGATCACTTTCAGCCACCACCATTCAAGGTTTAGTCAAGGTCTAGAGAAACTCATATATAAAACCCGTCTACTTTCCACATAGCAAGCTAAAGAAAAAAAGAGCCCTGGAATTTTGTCACAATACTTCCCTGTGAAAACTGTGCATACAGTTCAATTCTATGTTGATGTCAATTCTCCGGTGATCGTGGCAAATAACACATGGGTGCAAATCTTTCTCCTTTAACTAAAGAAAAATTGTTATCAGTCTTGAATGGTCTCAGCTCAGAATTACTTTTTGTTAAGTAATCAAGTTGCTGAGCAACCTAAACAAGCAATAAATATTATGAATGATGTTTGGTATCTGGATTATAATAGAATCAGAAAATGGTTTGGGTTGGAAGGGACCTTTGAGATCATCTAGTTCCAACCCCCTGCTATAGGCAGGGATACTTCTCTCTGGACTGGTTTGCTCAAACGCCCATCCAGCCTTGCCTTGAATGCCTTTAGAGTGGGGGGCATCCACAATCTAACTAGGCAACCTGTTCCAGTGACTCATCACCCTCACAGTAAAAAAAAATAGGAATATTGTGTCAATTCCATGTAAAACAGCAGAGTAAATGAAAATCAACCCCCTACTATGCTATATGCTATCATGAGGAAGTATATTATAGCATTTGCTTATTGACAGCTATCTAAACCTCTGGTACAACTGGCAGGGAAGTGTCTATGAAGTCTGTGTGATTTTGGTACTTATTTCTCTATGCTCTCCAGGGCTAGATTTTGGCTGCATTATCCTTCTGAACATAGTTCAAGACCTGCTTTTTTTTTCAGTGGTTTGGCAGATGGCTGTAGAAGTTCAAGGTCTCACGATTATAAATCATTTCTTCGTCAGTAATTCTGATAATCAGATTTGATTATACCTGTATTTAATTTTATATTTTTCATGTTCAGAGACAGGGATTTTGCCTTGAAGATTCCCACCTCAAAGATCAGGTAATCACACTAGAAGATCTCTTCTTACTCCTCTTAGAAAATACTGTGCTGTAACTGGATCTTGCTCCTGAAATGCTTGTACATACCCAAGCCCTCACATCCCACAGGAGCTCTTACCAGTTAGCTGGAAGCAGTGGGAAGGGTCCACAAAGAGTTATTGTTTACCAGAGCATTGTCCCACCTTGAACCACAGCAAGTTCAAAATGTGCTTCATGGGCCACTGGGCCAGGTAAGTTTTCAATAACAGCCCACAGAGGAAGTGAGCAGCCTACTTCTGCTGCCTACTATTCCACTCTGTTTTAAAAATTTTATATGTGTTCTATGTTACCTGTTACTCAGTATTCTGGAAAACACATTTTTGATCCCTCTCTCTTTGCTGCCTGCTAACTGATCTTCTTTGTATACAAGGTTTGGATATTGATCCAGTTCATAGCCATCCCACTCCTGGAAAGAGCAAAAAAGCATGTGAGAATGAAAGCCCTCTAGAGTACTTCTGATTACTTGTACATCCCAGTTCCATTTGTTCCATCTGTTAAAATAGAAATATCAGCCATGCTATCCGAATCAAAGCCCTCTTTGAATGATTACCTTCCTTCTTCCTTCCCAAATGCCTGGTTAGTTATGGAATAATTGCTGATATCTGTGGAGAATGATTTTATTCCACTACACAGTTTTAACTCTTAAGTAATGCTGCTTGCATGAACTACATGGGACTACATTGGAAAGGGCTGCTATGTGGAGCAACAGGAAGCATCCAAAAGATTCTGCCTCCAGCACTATGCCACAGGGCTATTGGCTGGCAAAAAAAACAAGAACACTGAAAAACTCTCCCACTTGAGAGAGGGGATTCAGTGATAAATACGGGAGCTGCTTTGGGAGAGCAGGTATGGTGAGAGGCAGACCTGCTAGGCTGCCTTGGGGGCTTGCCTGTGCATTCACAAGGTAGTAAATAGCAAATCAGAGCCAGTACTCATGCCTTTCTATGTCACAGAATCACAGAATCACAGAATTGCCAGGGTTGGAAGGGACCTCAAGGATCATGAATGTCCAACCCCCCTGCCACGTGCAGGGCCACCAACCATTCCACCTAATGCTAGA